AGACCCCTGGAGCCACCAAGACCTCACAGCTGTAATTACAAATCCTGGTGCTGCCACTGAAGCACCATCAGCACATGGAGCGAGAAATCTCCCAGATTCCAGCAGCTTTTTGACCAAAGCTGATGTGACACAACCAAACCAGGTCAGGCAGGAGGAACTGCTGGCTCTGGGGTTCATGCCAGGGAAACAACAGGCTCCAGACCTCAATGAACCTCAAAGAAGTGGATGTTCTGTCAGTAGGAAATAAATGATTGCTGAAGATGCTAAAAAGCAGGATCCCACCATGGGAAATCCCAGGACCAGGTCATCAATCTGCTGTTTCACAGCATCTCCAAAGATCTCACTTGGATTTCCCACAGGACCCTGAAAGCATCAGCTTTCTTCCATTTTTTTGTGGCCTCAAAGGTTTTCTGGACTGTCAGCAAACTCTGACCAATTCCTATCATTAATATCTGGATAAATCCTGGCTACATCTCCACAGCAAAGCCCATCCAGGCATGGAATGCAGGCCCAGATCCCCTCCTAACACAGCTCAGCACCAGGAAATCCCACCAGCTCTGCAGGAGCTCGCTCTGCTGGACATGAGGATCTCTGTGATGACCATTCGAAATGTCATTTTCTGTCTGCCTCTTCTGGCAGAGCTAATTCAGACATGATCCATTACCCTGTAATCACAATTTTATCTCCTGCACAGAGGTAGGCAGAGCCTGGCAAGGAAAGCCTGGCTGTGAAACCAGGCCCAGCTAGTGCTGAGACTGAGGGTATCTTTGGTATATCAGCATTTTAAATGTTAAGGTGACAAAAATACAACAGCTGATGTATTGCAGACCCCAGGTATTACAGCAGCATTTCTCCCAGAGATTAAGGGAGGCTATTTCTTGCAGGATATTAGTGGATAAAGCAGGAGCCTGGAGCCAGTTTGAGACTGGGCCATATTTTAGACAAATTTCATTTCAAAGAGGCCATCAGCTCTCTGCCTGGATAATCATATCTGGGAATTAGCCAGGAGACAAAATTGCCCCAAAACATTCCCATATTCTGTCTCCAGTCCCCACTGAATGAGCCCCCTGGGCTCACAGGGCTGGATAGTTCTGGTGGGCAGGGCATTCCTCGTGGCACTGCCACCGTCCTCATGCACCAAGAGTAAACCCAAAACCAGGAAATAAACTGCTTTACTTCACTCCCACCCTTTTATCCTAAAGTATCTCTTAAAAACTAATGTACCTCTGTAGGCTATAATTTCCACATTTCCTCTAATCCCGTGCATAATTACATGGAGCACTGCACTGTATCCCTGCCATGCAAACATTGCTACAAAGTGCAGGGTTTTCAGAGCACGATGTGACAAAGAAATAACTGCAGTCATTATTTCTGATCTGGATGTGGGTACACAAAGGGACAGCACGTGTCATTAGCTTCCTGTTGGGGACACTGCCCATTTATCTTCCTCCTCATCCTCCCTCAGTGCCTGCTAGCAATGTTATTTCAGTGGTTTAACATGAAAATGTTATTTCAGTGCTATTACATGTTTTTTATTTAACGTGGCTAGGAGGTTCCTGGGTGTCTCAGGGCTGTGTCCTTCCCCCTGGCTCCCTCAAACTCCTAGGGCCTCAGCAGCAGAATCCACATTTTGGATGCCTTTAACAAAGGTTAAGAACCCTGAATCCTGCTCTGATCTCTTTTTCAAGTTCCCTCCACTCAGCAGTGCTCAGAGCTGAGGGGCAGATCCCTGGGATTGCCTGGCTGGGGAAAATGGGGCATCCCCTGCTCCAGGGCTGTCTCCAAAAGGGATGTGAGGGGTGCACCAAGGCTGTAGCAACCCCAGATAAACACCTCTCCCAGCTCCTCCTGCCAGTGTTTGCAATCAGCTGAAATGCAGAGATGTGATGCTCAATGCCCTGCACAGATTATAGCCCAATCCCTGTATTTTTTAACATAAAACAAGCACCAGAACAGCCTAACAGGACCTGCTGGCCAGCAGGAGCCAACTCCCAGAGCAGACCCTTCATTTCTACTGCAGATCAGCAGCAGATCCACCCCCAGGCAGCACCTCTGGCTCTCACCACCAGAGCAAGGAAAAATGTGAGAAGTGTCCAACATCCCTGTGACCCCATTTGCTCCTGGCTCATTGGTAACCCCTGCACTGGTTCATACTGGGGAGCCTATGGAAAGACATCCTAAAGAACCAAAATCCTCCTGGTGTAGGTCCTGACCTCCCCACTCCATCTCTTCATGAGCACCCAACCCTCCAGCTCCCCACAGGAGTTTTCTCAGCTCAGAAACTCCTCAGCTCTCCATTCACTTTCTCACCTGCCTTCTCACCTGCCCTCACATCAAACACTTCCAAAAACCAACCAACCAAACCTCACATCCCCTGCCATCAAACGCCTCCCACAAACCAACCAACCAAACCTCCCTTGCCATCAAACACCTTCCAAAAAACTCCCTTGCCATCGAACACCTCCCAAAAACCAACCAACCAAACTTCACCTCCCCTGCCATCAAACACCTCCCAAAAACCACTAAACACCTTCCAAAAATCAACATCAAATCCCAGGGTGGTGTCACAATCACAGGGGACACTCCCTGTGCCAAAGCTTTCCTGTATCTCCCAATTGCACCACTTCAGTTTAATAAAAGAGTTTGTTCTTTCTTGCCCTTTATATTTACTGGCTGAGAACGTATTCCAGTAGTGTTGATCCACTTTTATTACCCTCCAGAGGCTCCAGCAGGAGCTGCTAGCACCACACTGCTCACACCTTACTTGCAAAGGCTCTTGGATTCCTCAGCTTTGCTTCTGCATGTCCCAGCCCTCCTCTAAGAAGTCCAGCAGCCTGAATTTGGTTAAAATAATTGTTTATTTGTCAAAGTCCTGACTCCTGTCCAGAATAAACTGACTCCAAACTAAACTAATTCCTTCAGTGGGGGCTGAATGTGCTGCCTGGGACAAGGGAGCCAAAGGAGTAACAAGAGGTCTCTGTGTGAATGGGAACAGACCTTATTCCAGCTTCCAGGGATTATGTCAGTGACCAAAACAGAGTTGTTTGGGTTCAGGATTCCCACCAGGCAGGGATCTGCCCTCATGCAGCTGCTGTGTGCCTGAGGACAAAGCTTCTCCAGACAGAGCTTGTCAGGATCCAGGTGGATCCCACCCACCTGGCCAGACACCACTCCTGATCAGAGCTTCACTGTGATATTTGGGGGCTGTGAAGGGAAAACCTCTGAGCTGTGCACACAGAGCAGCCCCAGCTCCCACCCAGCTCTTCCCTCCCCTCCTGCTCTTGTTTTGGGCTCATCCCACCCCTGAAGCCTGGCAGGGCTGGAGCACAGTGCAGAGCTGCCAACCCTTCGGCTGGAGTGTTACAAAAGCCTGAGACACATCTTCCCAAAGCTTGCCCTGGGAGGAGAGGGACTCTCCACTGAGCAAACACAGGGCTGTGTTCCACACATCCCCACTCAGCCCATCACACAGGAACCAGCTCCTTGCTCCTCATGGTTTGCACAAGCTGAACACTGGAACTGAGGCAAAGCAACTTTGCCACTGCACTTCACACAAACCTGGACAAACCTGCACAGCTCCTGCACCTCCCCAGTGCTTTGTTACCAGCACCCTTTTCCAAATCCCTGCACCCTTCCAAACCCTCCCTAGCTCATGTCACAGAGCTGGTGGGGGTTATGACATTGTCCTGACCTCTCCAAGTGGATTCCTCACTTCATCTTCCTGCATTTTCATGGAACCATGGAATGGTTTGGGTGGGAGGGACTTCAAAGCCCACCCAGTGCCACCCCTGCCATGGCAGGGACACCTCCCACTGTCCCAGGCTGCTCCAAGTTCCATCTAACCCAGCCTTGGACACTGCCAGGGATCCAGGGGCAGCCACAGCTGCTGTGGGCACCTGTACCAGGGCCTGCCCACCCTCCCAGGGAACAATTCCTTCCAGTATCCCACCTAACCCTGCTCTGTCTGAAGCCATTCCTCTTTCCCCTGCCACTCCAGGGGGCTGTGTGTCCCTGTCCAGCTCTC